CCCCCCCCCCTTCATTCAGCCCTTTCTATACTGCTACAAGAAATGGTACACTGGTAATATCATTAGAAATGTGTTCAGCACTTGAAATAGAAAAGTAGTTATTTGCAGTTGCCTTATCCGTCACCTTTTCCATATGGCATTGGTAGTCCTGGCATGTAAAATGAGGCCCACTATATATATTCTTACTTAACTTTCAACAAAGGTAATAGAAACCAATCATCAGTGACTATGCTTTGACTTACTGTTGAAAGTTTTTAAGTGCAAAAAAAAGGGTCATTTTGCTTTACTGGGGTAAAGCAAATAAGTGCTATCTGTATAAAAAGTGGGAATGTCTGAGGCAGGTGGCTGTGGTAGTGCATTCACTCATTCAAACCTTTTCCCTCCCCTCTGTTGAAGTGTGGTGTGGTGTTCTGCACTTTCCCACAAAAATTAAGCTTACTGAGTATCTGTTTTTTCATTCAATTGGCACACTCACCTTTCTATTTTTCCTTTCAGGGTCCAAACTGTCATCACGAAAAAAAAGTGGAAAATAATTACAGCTGTGCCAGATGTTTATAGCAGTGACAACTGAGGCTATATATTTATATAAACTGCTGATCTTTCAGAGGTAGCTACAGAGACTTGAAAAACTTGCAGGCCCTAATCTGAAATCACTTGTTCCAGTGAGTTAGAAAAGAAAAGAAAACAAACAACTTATACATACTTAAGAGGACAAATTTCCTTCCTATCTGGAATCTGTTCATTTTTATATTGAAGCAGGAGAGTTACCGAACAAACCATTGTGCACAGAGGCACTTGTAGCTGTATAAATCCAACTGATGAGCACTTTAACAATTGTCCAAGAGCAGTTTTATAAGATAGTCCTATGGGAATTAATAATGCTGACAATCAACTAATAGCATCTAACAATGCTAGAAAGCAAGGAAAAAAATTTCCCCCAGAAAAGAAAGACAATGTCCCTCACAGGCTACTGACCATGTTCCTTCTGTTATTTTCAGTTCTCTGGGAACAGTTATGAGCAGAAGCTTTATTTGTGGATGGCATCTCCAACACTTTGCAAACACAGATATGTCTCATGCACATCACAGCTTAAAGTCTGTATATGGGACTAGAGACTAGTGGCTTAATGGAAAAGAAAGAGGAATTATTTTGATACGCAAAGTAAAGAAGGCCAGCTTCAGACCTCCTACCTCTCCCTGCACATTTCCAACTCAGCTCTCTCCTCTGGGCTATCCTGAAAGAAAAGGGCCGGGAAGGAGAGCATGGCTATCACATTTGACTCACCAAACTCACCCCCCCTCATCAGGGCAACCCCATCCATGCAAGATGCAGGGGGCAAATTCAACTTGTCCATGGAGCTCCCCAGATTGCCGAGCTGGCTGAGAAACGATCTGGGATGGTACTGACATATAAACAAGTAGCAAGTCTCTATGACCCAGTCAAGAATCACCAGATGGCATAGATAATTTTTGACATCAGTGACACCGCCGTGCCTTTGGATACTAAGCAGATTGTAACCCCTCAAGATGTTCAAGCAATGCGCATACAACCTCACAAAATTCTCCTGAACATGACTCTTATCTTCTTCATTTAAAGAAGCACCCTATGAAAAATTTTCTTCTAGATCTAGGTTCTTTTAGGTAATACTCAGAAATGCAAAGCATTAGTTTGGACCAGTATGTCGCAGACTCCTTTTGGACACTTTGTTCACTACTCACCATCCGTCTTTCACCGTTTATTCCTCTCCACTGCTCAGCCCTCTTTATAATGTAGCTCAGCTCCTGACTGGAAATCTCTAAGTCCAGTGGAACAAAGAACGTGCCTTCCTCACCGTGAATGCGTCGAAACACATCCAACAGCCAACCTTCGCTATGTAGCCTAAGGATAGAAATGACACATTTAGTTCTTTGAAAGGACTCTTCATGCAAAAAAGGAAAAGGCGTATTAGCCTTTTGTAGGCTTCTAAAGCTTGGTTTTCCCTTCGTGGCTATATTCTCAACCCACAAGTAAAAAATTTCTTTCCCACAAGTTCTCTAACATACAACCCTTCCCAACCCCCTGGAGATTTTACGATACCTGAATCAAATTGTATAAACTTAAGCAGCAATTTCTTTTAATTATTTCAAGATATTGACTTCCCAAAAAGATCCTGTTCTTCCCTTCCTTCAGAAATGTCCAATGTCTGTCTTTAGCACTGAGTATGGTAATTAATTCCAGTGCTTACATGCAGTACCTCAGTTAGGCATGAATAGAAGTCCTGATGTGCTGGGGTTCAATAATGGGCAAATCACATCATATGGAAAGGAACTACTCACCGTTTTTTTCAACCCTAGGCCTGAAGTCTATACAATCTGAACTTGTCTTGATGTTAGACAAGTTCATTTTGTTGGCTTTGTGTTTTCTGTGACGTTTCTGTGACGTTTCTGTGCCGTGGTAGGAAGTTGAATAAGCACTATGTGGTAAAATTCACTACCACAAGAAAGGCTTGCTCTGTGGCATTTCTTAGCATAGGCAAAATGAAGAAATATTGTGAGCCTTTTGGAAAAGCATAATGTCACAGTTTTAGCCTTAGATGAACTTTAGAACTTCAAAACATTCCCGTTTAATTCAAATGGAACCTCTTCGAGTTCATCTCTTTCTCATTCTACTTTTGTTCCAAAACCAGGGGTTCAGAAAATAAAGATCAGAAAATCTGAAATCTCAGTCTTGGATATCAAACTGAGATCTTTCCTTTTGTACCCTTTTCCAAGCTAATAGTTTATTACAACTCAGTTGTTGCCTGATGCCAGTCTCAGCTTTTCCATCCTTCCCAGAGACTGGCTGGGTAGTCATGAGAAGCGCAGGGATTGCTGTGTGGCACTTCAACCAACAAAAAAGCCCAGATTTCTGTGGGGCTATACAGGTCTTTCTTGTCAGGTGAGAGAGAGAGCACAGGCACAACTCCTTTGACCTTCTCAACTCTTATCCTTCTCATGTACAGCAGCACTAGATGCAGTTCTCGTGGCTGACTCTTTATTTTTGGGTCTTATATTGGCATGTATGTGCTGACCAATGTGTGTGCGGGTGGAAGGCAGTGGGCTGGTCAAGGAAATCAGAAGGAAGTTCACATTTACAGTAGCTCTACATCTCACCTTGCAGTGCACACAGTGATTGCAGAGGAGCACACTCAGTAAGCTGCTTAGTACAGTTTTGCCCACAACTGAGATTCAGTGTGGGACAGAAATAAGGAGATGCACCAACAGACAGTTTCTCAGCTTGGTCTCAGGACGAGCTTTAGCTCTCTCTTCAAAGGCAAATATGTACCCTAGGGTCAAGACCTATATCCAAGAGTTTCTGTGATGGAGTAACTATTCTGATGCTGAAATCTGGCTGCCTGGCCCAACATCAGATTAGAGACTTACATCTCCTGCTTTGCGGCAAAGGTGCTCTCTGAGATTTTTTCCCCCATCCTTCTTTTTTGAAACATTCCTTTTTGAAGCTGCAACTCTAAATTTGCTGTACTTTCCAAGACTTCATTTTGGGATTCTCTTATCAAAAGATTTGTAGGTAGATAGTCCTGGGAATATAAACGAACTGGCTACCAAGAAATCATAGAACAAGCTCTAAAGTGTGAAACGCAAATCAGTGCTAAGGCAGAGTAGGATACTAAAATATCTTAAAACGCATTACAAAAAAGGAGATATTTTATAAATAATTAATACCCTTCATGATGTAATTTTCCAAATTCCATAGCATCTTCCAAGAAAAGTTTGTTTCTCAATCCCTGGATCTACATTAGATGGTCTTTCGACACAATAGATAAATTTTGGCAAACATTAACTCCTAACTTAGAATTATCTTGTGCGTAGTTGAAAAACTAGCAAGCAAGCTGGTGGCTTTCTGGCCTTCTGCTCATCTTGCAACAGTAATAGTCTATGGTGTTCATCTTTGAAATTCCAGGTCAGCAATTCAAATGACTTGCCACTTATCTTGCTAAACAAGAAAAAGACCTTGCCATTTATTTAAGCTCACTTAATGTAACATTCTTATTTCAAATGAAGTAAAATTTAATGCAGTTAAATTACTGTCTATTTGCTGCCATAAACATTTTCTATATGAAGATTTTAAGCACATGGTTATAAACAATATAATTAACTTTGAATTCATTAAGAATCATGAAGCCTGTCTTCCAGCTTTGTTCCTTTTGCCCAAAAGTACTCAGTCTGCTCCTGTTACCTGCTTTAATTTCTTTTCTTTGGCATGAAAACTAATACAACACTTCTTGTGTCTTAACATGGCTTCTTACAAATATGACAATAATAATTTCTATTGCTAATGCAATAAAAAGCAAAACAAAACTCAGATGCTATTTTCTGGAAATATGAGACCCAGTATAATACCTTACAAGTTCATTTATTTATCAGAAAGAAGAGAAAAGATTGAAATTATCCAGGGTCAGATCAAAAAATGGACTTCTCAAAAATTTACACAAACAAAAAATAAAACGGTAGAGTGGTTTAAAACAATTTATTACATCTTTGCCTGAGCCTTTCTCATCCTTTTTTTGAAAATAACTGTTAAAAACATAAAACTATTTTTGCTGTTAACATTGAAAAAATACAGATTTTTTGCAGCTTTTCCCTCAAAAAAAAAAAAATCAATACCAGGAAATTTAGACTCTTTCCAGCAGACACTTTTGTTTAAGATGGGTCTGCATTTTCTCACAGTGCAGAAAACATTTCACCAACAAATCCCTGACTGTTTCTAATGTTTAGTGGAATTAAAATGAAGGAATTTCAACCAGTGCCACTTCATTTTTCCAAAAAGTAATTAGAATATCTCTCTATGATAGACGTGCTACAGACTCCCGAGACACTCATGGGGAGCCAGATTTATTGAGGTATGCTGGTTTACAAAGGCACAAATAGATGCCTACTGCTGTTTATCTCCTGTCCATCATTTCATTACCTTCCTGGTTGTTCATCAGTGCTGCCATGAAGCTTTCTAGTTGTGGCAGAAACAGACACTTCCCCTACTTGCTTTGGTGGTCTGGTGGGTTCACTGTTCTTATCCGTTTTTTATACTCTGCTGAACACTTCTGTTAAATGGCAAATTGCTGAGTAATTCTAACCAGTGGCACCAACTCCACCATCCAACAACTGAAGTCTTCCCTGTGGACTGATGTCCTAAGACATCCAGTCACAGAAGACATCCCTCAATATTTATATGTTTACCTTACAAGAGAAAGACATATTGAATGTCCATGTAAAAAAATATGTTTTCTGAGTTGAGCAACATTACATTGGAATATCTTGGAGAGGTAACACCTGAGAAATACTCACAGAGAGTGATACTATTGCTTTGTTTATAATACTATTTTCTCTTGAATACAAATGCTGTTATAACAATATTCGTGAAAAAATGTGAAGAATTGCAGAGATGCCTTCCTTAAAAACATTTCTAAAGGATTTAGTGCTATCATTAGTGGACTGACAGTGTGCTGCTCAAGAGTCCTAGCCAGGTCCAAGGTTCTCACTGTGTTGGGTTGCGGACGTACAAGGAAGAGAAAGTTGATCCAATTTCAGAAGCACATAGTATCACTTTACCCTGCACAAACTCCAGTATTCAAAATGTTTCTTTTTGCTATCAAGCAAAGAACTTCGAAGACCTTATGCACTGTAACAGATTTTGTTATCTTCCTGTTGCTTTTGTGTTTTGCTATGAATCATTTTTAAAATGTGTCGTACTAAGACAACTTTTTTCCCCTAGTAACATTCTCCCCCCACCCCTTTATTGGAAAACATTATAGGAAAATTGATCCAGAAGGAAAGAAACCTTTGATGATCTTGCACCTGTTCCCTAGACAATGAAGATGTTGGTAATATTCTCATAAAAACCTGCCTTACAAATGTTTTAATTTAAATTAATTTTCCTGAGTAATAAACGACAGCAGCTAAAACTTATGAAGCTATTCAAAACTATTAAGTCAATGATTAAGAAGGCATTAACATCTCCAAAACTAATTAACTAGACTACCAGTACATGGGAGTTGTGTACAGCTTCCAGGAATGCAGGAGCTTCAAAATACTTTGCAGAAATTTAGATTGCCATTTATCTTTTTCTGCCTGCTGCAACAGAGTTTGTGGAAAGGAGATCGAAGAATGATTCTGTCAGATGGAGGGAGCATGCTTAACTTTTCTATTCTTACACCTGCCTGCATCTTGCCTTTGCCTACGGCTTTCTATTGGTACTTGCCACCACTCAATATTCATCACTGAGTGCATCAAGGGTCAGTACAAAATTCATACTGCTTTACAGATGAGTCACTCGGAAAAAAAAAAAAAGAAAATACACTTTTTTCATTCAATATGTTAGACAACCCATCTCCCATCTCGTTCATTTTCAGTGTTCCAGACCTGTCCCTATTGACTGTGCAGCTAATTGTGCCAACTAGAAAGGTGACAGGAAAGGTAGGTGGTCAAATTTCATGATGAACTGAATATGGATAATAGGCTAAAGTCATAGAAATATGGTTTGGTTTAAGTGGTGTCATGCAGTGGGTTAAAGCCTCAGTCACACCAAGTAAAAAATCCTGTATCATGAAAAGACTGTAAGACTCTGGGGGCCACTGAAGCCACAGAGACAGATTTTGCAATTCATGCCATGTGCAGCTTTCCGATTTTTTCCCTATTTCTCACAAAAACACTGCTTGGAAGACTAAAGACATCTTCCAAAGTACGCAAATAAAAGGTACACACACACTTTAGAGCTTAAACCCTTGACACAGGCAGCATTGTCTGAAGTCAAAGGAGTAGAGGCTCCTAGACTGCATGAAAAATCGTGGTATCAACTGTGTTCCTGTCCAGGAAATAAGTGGCTCCCCTTCTGACTCGCTGTGCCCACCAAATACCAGTGCATTAAAAACTAAACAGGAGCTAACCCCTCCTTGATTGTCAGCAATTCTGGGCTCTGGATATGTGAAACTGATATGTCTTTTCTGATGTCACCTTATTTTGTCTTACAGGAGAAGGGGCTTGAGCCCAAGATCCTAAAGGAATAATGAGATAGAGAGACACACCTTAAAAAGTACAGGTACAACACTGTTGATGAGATGATGAACAGGATTGTATACAGCATCACAGTGATTAAGGCACCAGGAATCCCCGACTCTTCTGCTCTTAGGAAGACCCAGTAGAGCTTTGCAGCATCAGCAATGGGTTTCTCTACACTGTTCCCAAGTCGCTGTCATGGGGGGAAAAAAAATCAAAGTAAGAAAATACCAAATCTGGTTAGACTATTTACCCATAGACACAAAAGACTCTGAGTTTCTAAGAAGGATTTAACCAGGGAACGTACCTTGAAACTTAGCAGTCTGCTATACAAAATTTGAAATTTACCATGAGATGCATAATAAACTATTTTCTGGTTTGTTTTAGTACAATTAGAGTGACTTATTGAACAAAACCCATGCCACAGTGAAAGTAGTCAATGTGAGCTTCATTAACATACTTCAGGAAAAGTGGAAGCGTAGGAAGGCTGCATCTGTGCGTGTTGCTAGCTGACACCTAGCACAGCTTTTCCACTAATCTTGCAAACAGCATCATCATTCAAATAAGGTAGTGGATTCACGAAGCTTCACTGAGACCCAATGAGGTGAGAAAAATGGAGAAAGCAACTACAAGTAGATCAACAGGGGATGCCAGCAGGGTTCTGTTAAGTTTTGCCCAAAGGAGTTGACCTTTTCTCAGCGCAAAAGAGACAAGTTCCCCATTATGAAGCAGTTTTTAAATTTCTGTACGTGCATTATCAAGCCTGTCTGCAACCCTTTAAGTCAGAAAATCAGATATTGCCCTCACCCCCCATTCCTAGTGTCCAGTCAGTCCAGTTTGTGAAGCCACAAGGACAGCCTGTAAAACTGAATAACCAACAAGATTCAGCATTATTTTATGATATAGCTCTCATTTTATTTCTTTCTTTCCTGAGAAGAAGTAGAAACAGAATGAGACCAATAGCTCTGAAGAGATCTGACCGAATCATACTTCCACTGCTGTGGTGGAATTAAAGATACCTCTTAACAGTACAAAGTAACAACCTTAAGTGTACCATTAATAGCTTCTCCAAAGGTACATGACTGTGACATACCCTGCTTAGTTATGCTATGAATAGTTCATGTTCCACTGCTTTGTATGCAAACAAACATGTATAACTATTTTCATTCTACTGAAAATGAAACAAATTTTGGCATACTAAATATTGGTAATGAATTAATATTCATAGAATAAAAATAGTAGTTTAATTGGGAATAAGGTGGTTTGTGTGGTTTTGCAAAGATTCACAAAGAATCCTGAAGGTTTCATAGAGCTCTGTGTTTCACTATATTTCCAGTAAAACAGAAGAAAAGATTTTCAAAAAATCTATTCTTTTCCTTTTTTTTTTTTTTCCCATATCTAGTTCTTAAGAACTAGCTACTGTATTGACATATTATTGCCCTCTGCTGGATCAATTTAGAAGAATTCAGCTACATATCATGGGTCTTCTACTGCTCAGAGCCAAAATAAATTCCTGTCTTCACTTTCTTCTTTTTAAAGTGACACGGTGAGAGCCATATCCATACTAAATCATGTTAACAAATTTTGCAAGGATGTGAAACTACATCACAAAACCAGTTAGGTATTTATCAGCCAGAGAGGGAGTCTGTCACCTTTAGGCTTCAAGAAACCTGCACCTTCTGGAGCAACTTGCCTGGACTAATCCTGAGGAAGAGTCAAAACTTTCTCTCCGTTTTTGGCTACCTTTGTGGTGACATGCATAGTAAAGGAAGGACAATTACAAGTTCAATGACGAGCTGTACAAGGACTGAGATTCTTGAACATATTTCTGTTCTCTCTCCACCCTTTGCAACAGTGCCAGGTTTCTGTAATGGAAATTACAGGTCCCAGGAGACCAGTAATGGCGTATAAAGACTAAGCAGTAGTTCAGATCTGTCTATATTCTTTACGAAAAATTAAAATATGTTATCCTCTGGTTCTGTTCTACCCTCGCTCGCTAAAAAGCTTCCTGCCTCCACAGCTTTTTCACCAAAGAGACTGTCTACCAAGGAAAATCCTCTGCACAGCAGTCATGTCCTGACATCCCTCCAGAGAGGCAAAAGTCTGAATGGCAAACAAGAATAAATTTCTCTCTTATCCAAGTGGTTCTTTCTGACAAGGCAAAAATGGCATGGGGAAAGCGTATCTTTCTATTAAAGAGATTGTGTCAATTATTCTGTGGTCCTCAATGATAGGATCCAAGAAAGCTTTCTTAATTTAAAATTGTTTAAATAACGTTTGTCAATAAGTGTCTTAGGTACTTATCACACCACAGAATGATGATCACATGAGCGCTTTGTAATCTCTAACGTGTTTTCTGGTGACATGTATCCATGCAGATAAAGAAGTGTTCCTCTCTGCATTTTACAAGTACAGAGAGACAAAGTGACCGGTCTTGGGAAAACTCTGGCAGAACTGGAACTAGAACTTCATACTCCAAAGTCATAGAAAAGTTTCTCATCCTTGGACCATCCTTCTACATGCTGATAGTAAACTAAGCCAGGAATCACACATTTGGCACAGTATCTTGAACTATGAGTTGAAACCCCCCAAACATGCAACTGGCTCTCTAGTCTTGTCTTGAGAATCAAAAAATTAGTTAGCAAACAAAGAAACCTTTGTCTCCAGGGATATGTCATCTTTCATAAGTACTAAGGCCATTTAGGATACTAAAATACATTCTAGCACTAAAATAACTCATATTACCACAACACATTTAAAAAATGCTTGATCTAAAATAGACTGGCAAGTAAATCTGAAATAGCTGCTGAAAGAATGCCGGGAGAAAAAAAAAAAAAAAACTACAAATGCAATAACAAAAACACATGTAAGAAATATAGTTTCATTTTGGAAAGGATATACACAGTATATTGTGTAATATTTGAACAAATGACTTTCTACCAAAGATAATCTTGGTGGGTAAAACTGTCAGATTTTCGGTATGAGGTACAGAAGTGTGCTCTTTTTATGCTGTAATGAAAAACTTAGTTACTTTACTTGTGTCTTACGTTTCCCCCGATCAAGCAAAGAAGCCCTATTTGAAATTGATAACAAATCCAGTCTGACTAGAACTGAACACATTGCCATTGAAGTCAGTGGCAACTATTTTCTCAATGCAAGCGTGGGAAAGACAACGCAGACCTCAGCCTTTCCTCCAGTTTTTATGAATACATCATTATTAGGGGGAAGAAAGAAAGCTTTTTTAATTTCTAAATATTTCTAGCCTGGATATTGGGGAAATACTCCTTTTTCTCCTAGGGAAAAAAAAAGTCTTCATCAGAATAATTACAATTAAAATTCAATTCTGTGCATGGTTTACACTATGAAAAAAAAAAAGAAAAAAGGCAAGCTGTCCAAGTGAAAACTCGTTGTGTTGCCACATGCTTAAAATATTGCAATTATCTCCCAAATAAGCTCCAACTAAATTTCTTGAATACTTGAATTTTAATCTTCAAAAACCACTGCAATGGGAAACAGCATATAAAAAAGCTGGTAAATCATATTTTAAGAGGACTTCTTAAAAACAGAGCACAGGTTAGTGGATGATGAACCAAGGCACCCGAGAAAACCTGATCCACAACAAGGACTGTGGATTACTGCTTGATCTGGAGCAAGCAACAGAAACAAAGACATCTTTGGAAGGCAGACAAGGGCAGAAGAACAACAGTACCATGCCCTCAGAAAAGCTCGCAGCATCCTGCGCCCATCGAAAGAACCCGGAGCCACCTGCACAGTGAGAGCCAAATCTGAAATGTGTGTTCTGGGAGACTGGGCATCACCTCATGTGGGATAAAAGCCCCCGGCCAACAAAGTACGGATCGGCTGCACAGCACATACGTAGGCATAGATAGAGTTTGGAGATTTGCTCTCTTGATTTGACGTGTGATGAAGCTCCTTCCTTAAAGAAGTCTCTCTTTCAACCTCGCAAGTATTTTTTGGTGTGCTGGCAAGTTATATTAACTGTGTTGCATGCCAGAGAAGTGCATAATAACCTCTCCTTTTGGTTCTGCTGTTTTTTCAGTTTATCTGTTTCAGCTCTAAGAAAAATCCGAAGCACTAATAATCAGGACTGCTCATTAACCCATCTCCATTAACATCTAAAATTGCAGTAATCCTTTTCGAAGGAGATGCAATCATTCCAGTGGTGGATTTACTTGCTTATCTCCATATATGGCTTGTACAGTGCTCTTAATTTTATGCAGGAACACAGTGACTTCATTAGATGGGAATTTGTTAATAAAAAGGTAATGTATAACATTATTATTTAATTTCTTTTTAACTTTCATGCTCCATTGCCAGGGGTGGAATTTCATATCTTTCAGTGATTCACTGAATAAAACAAACTTCTGCGTCAAGGTCTCATGTCCAAGTTATTTTAAGTGACTTACCCCCAGGACTGAATCCACTACGAACACTGCCAAGGGGTCTAGCACTGTCCACAGTCCCAGAGCTATGATAAACTTTGACAAGAAGGAAGGGAATGAGTCAAACAGCTGCTGACAGCCCCATCTGATCAGCACCATAAGAAGCAGCCCTGCGTTCAAGGTTAGGGGTCCCACCACAACCATGACCAACTCTTCACTGGTCTGCAGCAGGGAGTTCTGGTAGCACAGCTCGACAGTGTGAGGGAAAAGCTGGAATCTGTAAGTAAGAAGAAGGAGACAGTTTGTACTCCTGAGCAAACCATTAAAAAAAAACCATAGAATAATGGATACAGCACATTGCGTTGTTGCGTCCCGATCTTGGTCACAATCTTCTGACCAAAAACTGTATGAAGCTGCTGAAAAAAAAAAAAATATTTTCTCCTCTCCTGCCTCCACGTCCTTTGATTCCCTCTGACTCTCAGTTCAGCAGATGCACATCCAGGCTCTTGGGACTGTGCAGGCAGGGCTGTAGGAAGATGTTTGCTCCCAGTGACACCAGTATGTGCACGGGCCCCAGGAGTTCAGCCCTCTCTGCATACTGCAGCATCCCTGGACGCTGCACAAAATGGAAAACGTGTCATGGAAGATGTAGGTTTTAGCATTCCCAAAGTAACTGAAAATGTCCCTCTTGCCACCATGGGATGGTGGGATTTGAAAAGCTCACACAATGAGCAAATTTGCTGGCACTGTAGGAGACAGGAACTGCACGGTATGGTGAGCTACATACCGACGATGAAATTTAAGGTAAAAAATTAAAGTGAATTTTGCTCCTAAGTAAAGGTGAAGTGATTTGATATTCACTGTGGTTCCAACTTGTGAGTGCTACCACTGTATTTGCTGGGACTGGAAAATCCTCAACTCAGTCTTGTGTTCTATGGGCACACAGCCACAGATTGGGATGCTGATCCAGGGCATCTTGGCTTGTGAACATTATCCTTTATCTAGATGACTGCCTGGGACAGCTGTGATTAGTGGCTTCAAACATGACCACCTCTCTCTCACACGTTGCCTCCTTCTGTTGTCTTTCCTTTGCTTTCACAGACTCTTGATGCTTGGCCTCCCAGGAGTTTTAATGCCAGCTGGCTGAGCCTGCCTGGTCTGCACAAGGTCAGAAGCAGGAGATGGCTGGCCTTGCGTTAAGATCTAGAAGACCACCTTAACAACACCCGGTGCTGCCCAGACACCCTGTTCAAATTTTAGCCAATAATCCCAGTATCACAGCAGACACAGGTCACAGAGTTGCATGTTACTGGCTCCTACTGACTGATTCAGGTTTGGGTGATGCTTTAAAGTGAAGAAAAGAAACAAAAAGTTTCTCTTGGAGAAATCTTCCCTTCCCTAAGCATGACTGATCTTTTTTGCTCTGTAAACCCATTCTCTACCCCACAGTAACGTATGGGGAACTAGGCATATATCATCTTCTGGACTCGTTCTCCATCTTTTTTTTTTCATGTCAAGTAATGACAAGTAATGATCTTCCTGGAACTCTCTAGAGAGCTCCGATTCCCGAGCTAAAGTCAATGTATCATGTAGTTAAAATATGTCAACCCATTGTAGTCCTCACAGTAAAACTGATATATCGAAGCTAAATTCTTCCAAGTATTTGACTCATAGATCACTTTGGTAACATCAAATATGATTTAAATGCTTCTTCAGTTTTGTGCACGTCTTAGGCATTTTGAAACACTTGATCCAAAATGATAAATGATTCTTGTGGAAGACACGTTACACAGCCTGCTGGGTATCTCAGAGGGGAGAGACGTAGGCATGGCACAAGATGCACAAACGGACACATCCTGTTCTGGGTTGAAAATTTACATTATTAACATCTTCGCCTTTCTGTTGAGGTTACATTTACACATCAGATCATCTGGAGTCTGGATAAAGTCCTTGTTCTTTCCTATCAGGACTTGCATGCAGAGCACTTAGCACAATTCTTAGTCATCAGCTCTCTTAATAGCATGAAGGAACCACTTTGAATCAAGCTATCTGTAGAAATATTCCAACAGGGAAAGAAGGCAGCGGGACTTACTTTGTAACAGGAACTGAGATGATCCGAAGGAAGAGCCATTGGCTCAAATAGTGCAGGTAAAGTCTGACGAACCAAAGCACAACTACTATTGCGGCGAGCAGCCAGAAGTCCCCGGAGCGCCAGCCCGCGGCTCCCAGCTCAGAGAAGGCTTCATGTACCACGAAATGGAAACGCTCGACAATCCGCCTGGACAGTTTTGTTTCAGCAGCAGAACGGCAGCTGGAAATACACGGAAATAAAACAGAGTTATTCGGAAAAACATGCAAGAAATAGCAGTGCCCAAAAACACTGTAGAGTCCTGTGACAGAGATAAACGTAACTTTTGATTGACCGACGCATCTGACAGGGAAAAAAGGAAGAGTTTTTTTCCATCACAGTCTAGATGATAGGTGGCTTCCTCCCAGAAGTCACGCTGCTGTGTTTATTTAAAAAAAAAAAATCACATTCGAACCCAAGCTTTTAAAAGTATTTTGCTTTCGTTTTTATTTTAATTTTCTCACAAATTGCTCCCTGAGGAACACTTACTTTATCACTTATTTTCCTTCTGAGAAAACAGTGAAAGGACTTGTCATATTTGTACTGAAAAAAGTATTCATTTTATTGAAAAAAGTGAACAGCTTTTTGGTGTTGGGATAAGAGATCCTCGGTCAAATATTTCCGTACACAACGTGGGCTAAAACTTCTCTTTAAACTAGTTTCAAGTGAAAGAGAAAACAAAAAGGAACTTGTGCTGTACAGTATTCTGTTGCTCACCATGGTGTGATTTGCCCTTTAAGCTAATTACTATACTGCTTCAAAGGGAGGGGGGAAAAAAAAAAGACATGAGATGCAGAGATGCAGCCTTGGAATTATGTTTCCAAGAAACTGGAGTGTCTCAGCTGATTCAAAGCTGAAAAGACAGTAGCTTCTTTGACCTTTTGAAGCTTCTAACTGCTATTCCTATTTCCATTGATTTAAATGACTAAGCAGCTGAGATGCACAACTGTAGGATTAAATATGATGTCATCATGCTTAAACTGCTGTTTACACTGATTCAGTCTTCTGAAAGTTCAGAAATATAAAGAACTTTTTGTGGAAGGAAACATGTTGGCTTTTTTAAGTATAGCATATGACTGGAGAAGAAGCGACAGCAATACTTGCACTGTATTTTATACTCTTTTGAAGCATTTTCCTGCCTACACATACAAATTTCTTAAATAGCTGTGGACCTTTCTTCCTCCAGCAGTCACAGAGAAAACTCAAGTAGCAATGAAAAACTTAAAAGAATTCTGCATTTGGTCTAGGTTCGAATGAGCAGGAGAAATAAAAACTCCAAACTCGCTAGCCATCGGTCTGGATTTTGGGACCAGCCTTGGCATCATGTTACTCCTGACCCTCAGTGCTGGGCGGGATGTGTGTGTAGGAGGAGGCATGCTGTCAGCAAGCCCCTCTTCTCATGAGAAGGTTCAAGCTTTAATCACCTGGTTGGTTGAAGAACAGGAGAAGCTCAGGGACACACCACAAAAATTAGGTTTTGGGTGACTAAAGGCAGCCTCAAATACCAACCACCAAAACTTCACACAGAAGCACCTGTTAGGCTGAGACAGGAGATCCTTGCAGTGACTATAGGTTGATCTGCCAGGGATTCTGAAGGCCTTTTTGAGACGCTGCATTCCGCTTTGCTTATATCCTAATCAGTCACAAAGCCCTACTTTACAGACTTAGTGCCACATCATGAGTCACCTTCTTCATATTGTAATTATTTACCCACAGCGGCCTACGGGAACATCACAATACATTTCATTAACATTATGAAATTATGGTCTAGGCTTGTGTGAGAAAGAGACAAAGAAAAATGTAAAATAAGAAATATAATTGACTGTGGTATTATACTACATTAACCAGGGCATTCTGAACTCTGAAACTAGATTGTACTACATTTCCTTTTATATAAAGAAATTTTTGTCGTCTTTAATAATTTCCATCAAAGTAGGTATTCACCCCTTGAGGAGAGTTAATAGGGTAAGATTAGCTACACAGTGATTTTAGTTAGAAAGAATAGTTTGTTGTTTGTCAGGGGGAAAAAAAAAAAAGAAAAAAGAAAAAGGAATACTATGTTGGCTCATAATACTCTTTTCATCCTTCATCATACAAGCAGAATTACACAGATGTCCCACCCAGCCTCACCCATGTCAGAAATCCACATCCTATAGGGATCACTGCCAACCTTCACCTCTGTGCCGAGAGCACGAGTCACTGTGTACTTTCTGCAAAAGTCTAGATTGAGATCACCACCTTGTTTCATGTAAGAGTCATCTGCTACTAGGTTATTTGGGCTTAGTTTACTAAATGAAGTCGTCTCCAAACAAGCAACACCAGAGTGAAACGTTCAATATACCATCTGTAAAATGTTTCAAGACATAAATCCTTCCTCCAACCCAACACAAAGATGTGCTGGTTTTGAGTGGGGTAGTTAATTTTCTTCATAGTAGATAGTATGGGGCTATGTTTTAGATTTGTTCTGGAAACAGCTTTGATAATGCAGAGATGTTTTAGTTATCGCTGGGCAGTGCTTACACAGAGTCAAGGTCTTTTCTGCTTCTCACACCACCCCAACAGCAAGTAGGCTGGGGCTGAACGAGAAGTTGGAAGAGGACACAGCTGGGAAAGCTGGCACCAACTGACCAAAGTGATATTCCATACCATATGACATCATGCTCAGCGTATAAAGCTGGAGGAAGAGGAAGGAAGGGAGGGGACATTCAGAGTGATGGCGTTCATCTTCCTAAGTAACCTTAACGCATGATGGAGCCCTGCTTTCCTGGAGATGGGTGAACATCTGCCTGCCATGAGAGTAGTGAATTAATTCCTTATTTTGTTTTGCTTGCACTCGCAGCTTCTGCTTTACCTATTAAACTGTCTTTATCTCAATCCATGAGTTTTCTCACTTCTACTCTTCTGATTCTCTCCCCATCCCATTGGAGAGAGGGAGTGAGTGAGTGCCTGGGTTCTGCTGAGTTTCCAGCAGAGGTTAAACCATGACAACAGATTAAGAATGAGGGCGCACAGCTTAAAGTGCTGAAAATACTGAGTCCTCTTTCATTCACAGAACTTTGGGAGCACCAGAAACACTGAGAAACCTTAGTGACCAAAACTCTGGGCTGGGAAGGTGAGGTAACATCTTCACAGAGGCAGGATCTGGCAATGCAATCAGTACTTTCACAGGAGTTTCATGAATACACTTACTCCAGCTCTGTAACCCATCGTGTGGAAGCTGCTTGCGTAAGCACCGTGAGCACACTGTACAGAGCATGGCCATTGAACTTCCCTAAGACTTAGGCAGCAATGAAAATACCAACCTGTGCCTTCATCAATCCATTGCTCCCCAGCCTACTTCCACTTTCAAGAGGTCAAAAGAGAGCTAATGTCTTCACCTGTGAGCCATGACTTCCCTGCTGAGATGCTGGTGCTCTCAACCACCTGAATCCACCTACTCAACAAGCTTACAAAAGAAGGTAGAAAAATTCAGAGCAAGTTCGCTGTTGTCAAACCCTAGAAGCCTTCCACTGGCAATGACCCCGCTTAAACCATCAGGGCAACATCTATGACATCTTCACTTTGGTGTAGTTGTCCTCTGAAAAAAAAACAATAGCAGCCCAGAAACTCCACGGAAATCCAAGCTTGCTGGAAGTAAAAGAAATCAAGAAAAATATATCCATTAGTAGAACCAAACAACACTAATTTTGACTTTTGGAAGAGCAACTTTTTTTTTAATGCTTCATGATTTTCGTCGCACATCTTGACCATCATTTCCAGCTTTTAAATGGAAATTAAAGTCCTCCTTATAGTTCAACTTGTCAGAAGTCCAGATTCTGAGTGTCACTTTTGTGCTAGCTTGTACTTCCTTGTGACTGTGTAACACCTTGACGAGAACATCGTGAATCAGTGGTAGAAATTAGTGGAAAATATAGCATATCCAGTGACTCAGTGAAGGTCCCAGTCTGTAAGTGGAATACCTTCATTTACTTTGAAACAAGTTCAGTGAGCCCCAACTTACTTGTAAGTTACAGCAAACTATTTCTGAGTATTCGTTAATCGTGCTATAAGGCTGTTTACTGGCTGTCACTTCAAAACACTGGGCTTAAATGATATATCTTATTGACTTTTTTAAAGAACAAAGAAAGGAAGAGACAGAAACACAAAACAAAATGCACCAACAAGTGGAAACAGCCCCTTTAAATATTTTTAGCTGGTGCTACTAGTGAAAGCTCGTGGGTGGAGTGACAGTGCTGGCAGATACAGTTTTCAGAAGAGATTTATATAAAGTTGCTCTAGGGCAGAGAGCATAAGTATTACCTTTCAAAAACAAAACAGCCCCTCCACCCACAAAAAACCCAAATCTCAACCCTTGGGTGAAAACCGTATAAAGCTCCAGATGAGAAGCCACTTGAGCAATGGATTTATCCATGATTCCTTGGATTACTGGTAAGTAATTTGGCTGAATGTTTCTGTTCTAGGGCATTAGTTTTGCATTTTTCTTAGCAAAATGCTGCAGTAACAAATAGCAGAGACCGAATTACCATAAAACCAGGTCAATTATTTCAATGGAAATTGTTCAGATGGAAAGAAACGATGCACAGATTCTCTTAAGCTACACTTGATGATGATGACAGAAAAGTAATGGCTGATAGAAGGCAGCGTGTACTGTTGGGTGTCAGCTTTGCTGCTGACAAACTACAGCGAACATTTGTATAATGCACTGCAGGACTGGCACTTACGACTGGTGGTGGGGGCAGATTCTCAGCCGATGCAACCCTGCTTGCTCCGGAGCCACGCCAGTGTAAACCAGCTGAGGGATTCGAGATCCAGTCCTGAACGCATCTATTATTTACCATAGCATAAAATAAGGCAAAATAAATATTTAACCCATACAGCCAGAGAAGATTTAAAGAGCAAATGAAGACACGAAGGACTTTATGCAAATGACTTTCAGGGAATCACAGTCCTCATAGCCCAGGAATCTGTGCAGCGTATTTACTCAGTTCACAAATAAAAAGACCCCTCCCCACCATCACCATAACTGCTAGGTATTTAAACTTAGCCATAAAGTCTTTTATGGCTTATCAACAGTAATGAAGACACAGGAAATGCTGCCCAGTGTTACTACAATGAAATGCTACCAATTTCAGTGGAAAAGCACACCTGTATCTGAGGGTACATCTAAAAATAATACACTAATC